GTTTTCATGTATCTCTTCTCTAATTCTTATTCCTCTTTTTCTGCCAAAACCTATTCTTTCTCCTCTTAGTGCTACTTCTACTCCTTATTATTCTAAAATAACTAATATAATATTATTATCATTCTAATATAATATAATTACTATACTATTATTCTTATTTTGTCTTATTAGACTTAAATTCCTACACCCCCTTTCTACTACTTCTAATATTAAAATAAACTCATATCAAATAATAGTATTATTCTAACATTATTCTACAACTTAATCAAATAAATTAATTCAAATAAAAACGACGCAACTTAAATCAACATTCCACAATTTCGAAAATTTAATCGGAAAAATATTCAAAATATTTAATTAAATAATTAATTAAATATCGGGCGTTACAACTCACTCCCACTTAAAATATTTTCGTCCTCGAAAATTTACCTGATTCGAACAACTCAGGATAGGAGTCCCGTATCTTGCTCTCCAATTCCCACGTCATGTTTTCTCTGGCAGCCCCTAACCAGACTATTTTCACCAAAGCAATCTCTTTGCCTCTTAGAGTCTTCTTTTCACGATCCGCAATTCGTACATGCATCGTCGCCACAGTAAGATTATCCCATACTTGAACATCATCTATATGAATCACATGAGATGAATCTGAAATATACTTCCGGAGTTATGACACATGAAACACATCATGCAAATTCGAAAGATTAGGCGGTAAAGCCACTCTATAAGCAACATTTTCAACTCTATCTGAAATCTGATATGGGCCAATAAAATAAGAAGTGAGCATCTTAGACTTCAATGCTCGCCCAACACCAGTCACATGTGTAACTCTCAAAAACACATGGTCACCTGCTTGGAATTCTAAATCTTTCCTCCGCTTGTCATGATAACTCTTATGTCTACTTTGAGAAGCTTTCATCTTTTTTCAAATTAACTTCACCTTCTCGGTAGTTTCTCGAACAAGTTCGGGTCCAAGTACTACGCTTTCCCCAGATTCATGCCAACATAAAGGAGTTCTATATCTTCGACCATACAACACTTCAAAACAGTTCAGTAGGCAGATGTCAAGACATCTGCTTTGACATCATTCAAAATAGTTTTTCTCCAAATGTTAATACATATAACAAAATATTAACAAGTCACTGTTTTACCAAAATTGCTACCAATAAACACTTACAGGTGTTGATCTGACATCTTTGTTTGGTGCACCGCCCATTTACGCTTAGTGCACCTACTTTCTTCCTTGTTAAGTAATGTCAGCTTATCCACAACTTTCCCTAGCCACTCTATCTCTCTAGGCGTGTTGCCCATCCTCGCCTGGCGCACAAAACCTTCCTTTAACTTGAAGTAACTTAGCCTTGAAGTCATGAACCTCCTTTCCTCGCTAAGCCCACTTTTGCATTAGGCTTAGCAAGGCTGATTACTTAACTTTGAACTTACTTAACCATGAAGTCTTCTAGGTCGTCTGTGCTTGCTTAGCACACCAATGATCTTGTCTTAGCTAACCTTACTTGTAGGAAAGTGTCTTGACAAGGTCTTTTAGTAATTTTACCTGTTTTTTTTTGTTGATATGAAGTTAAAATTCCCAAACATGTATTTATCACTTTTCATTGATATATCAGAGGTTTTCTAATGATTAATTGTAAAATAAATTAATAAGTGTCTATGTATTTTACGAAATTTTGGCACTTATCAAGAAGCCCCTTTAAGGTATTCTTAATAGCTTAACCCTTCTCTGGTGAGTCACACTCCTATTCTTTGCGACATACTTGACAGAAGGATCGATGTTCAGTTGATGCCAGACAACATTGGAATCGATGGTAGACATCTCTTCGAAGAAAATAACAAACATATCATAATTTGGTTTAAGAAATTTAATGAGTTCCTCCTCAACATAGCTAGGAAGGTTAGCCATATTTTTCATTATTCCTCCCAGGTTATCATTGAACTGGATGGCTATGAAGTCATCTTTAAGGACCGTCCTCGGAATCTTCATCCTAGCCTCGATAGGGAGAGGCATCACTGAGTTGTGCTCGTCCTCAGACATGGATTTCTCTAGATATGCATCAAAGTATGCAACGTTGACATCTAAAGGGTAGTGTTTCAAAGAGCTTACCTCTAATATCTTCGTCCTTTATTACATGACAACTACGTCAAGGTTCCTCTATAGAGCCTTGTGAATGTGAAGGGCTCCTGCCAAGTTTGCATATATAATTATCGTTTCATCATGAATGTTGTGGTACTTCCTCTTCATGTGGACGGTGGAAGCGAAAAATAAGGGTTTGTGAAGAAAGATCTTTCCAAGAGACAGTTGTAAACACTTTTACAAGGGACCACTAGAAACTGAACATCCACATTCCATGTGTTCATGTCTTCGCTGAAGATTACCACGAGCTTTATGAAATCCCAGCAGAGGGTTACTGACCCATTTAATGCTTGCAAATAAGTACATGTGTAGGGCGATAGTTTTAGTTCTTAAAGCTTATCTTCTCAAAAAATTTAGTATACATAATGTCACACGATCTTCCCCTGTCAATGAGGATATTTGATACATCGAAAATTTCCATGGTGACTGTAATCACCGAAGGAAATATCTCTTTAGGGATGCCATGTACTTTCTCGCTATTCTTTAATCCATAATGGACCATCCTTATCTTCTCATTTTACGGCAACTCTCCCTTCTTGTCTATCTTCATTAGTTTTGCAAAATTTCTTTTCACGCAACCTTTGAACATTTGGAAAATTGAGCCCCCTACGGATAGAAGCAATAAAATGATAGCCTTCGATGACGGATGCTATAAATGATCATTTCCTCTTTAAATTTCATTATTTTTTTCATTGTTTTTCCCTTGACAGTGCCATCAAAGGCTTCTATTGTTTTTCTCGACCTTGTCTCATCTTGGTAGGGAAAGTGTTTCCTTCGCGGGGACTTGATTCGTCTTTTAGATTTCTGAGGGGAATCTATGTGTCTCTTGTAATTATCCTTCCTTTATTTTTATTTGGTGTATTTTCTAAAACTTCCCTTTTTAATCAATTCCTCAATTTATACTTGTGGAATCTCATAATTAGACTTGTTAGTCCGTGGTGACTCTTTCACAGGATGATGGTCCTTTTTTCGATCTCCTTGAAGTCTTCACCCCGGCCTCCTTGAACTTGGTGTTTGCACATTATAGTAGAATTATTTCTCTAGAAATTTCCAGTGTAGTGTTGTTTACCTTGAAATTTGGTAAGCAAGTGCTAGTCTTCCAATTTCTAATGACTTTGGTTACTTGCAGGATCGACTAGATTGATTCTAGGACATAAGTGTATATTTTGTGTTTTCTAAGTTTTCTGGATGTCATTCTCTTCGATAGAGATTGTTATTTCGAAGGCAGTAATAAAATGTTGTAAAGTAAAAACTGGAAGTAAAACAATTTCGATTTAAACTTAAAGAGAATATAACGGACTTCAAGTGAAAAGGAATAACATTGAATACAAAAATTAATGCTTCATACGTACATTCTCAACATATCGTTTCTCTAACACTTGGTACTTTGAGTTATTTTGAGTAATTTGTACAAAGAAGTGAACACACAGAAATCTAAACTAAAGACTCCTATTTATACTAATCCTAAACGAACGGTCTTCTTATCAGAGAATGACATGTTCTCGCTTGCATGTATTCAATCCTTCAAAGGCCTCCACGCGTCTTTTTTCCAAAAAAAGAACAAGTAAGCGTCAAAATTCGAATATTCAGCTTTTACTTTAAATCTCTTTGTCGAACCCGCCTTAAATATCTTTCGAATATGGGGCTTCGAATTTGCCTTGTTTCTAACAAAAGTTTGGTCGAAAAGACCATTATATACCTCTATCGAAGCATTCTCCAAAAACTATTGATTCTTTTTCTTTTCTTTTAGAAAACCTTGATTATTCTCATGGAACTTGGAACGTCGAATTTCCCAGCTAACAAGTGTATTCAAAAAACCTAGCACACGGTCCCTTATGCATGTCTCTATCTCTGTCATCACAGTGTCTGTTGTCATCTTGCTTCCCAGATTCAACACTTATTGATTTTTGTTTCTTTGAACACCTTCATCGAACAACTTCTACTCGTAGTTAATGTATTTTTGGTCTCGAGGGAGGAGGTCACTCATGAATTGCATGCGTTTCAAGCCCAATTTCTCCTAGAACATACAGTTAGAACATCCAGTCCGACCTCCATCGTTTCTTAAAAATCTAACAATTTTGAGATTCGTTAGCTCCTCCTACTTCAACAACCACCTTCATGAATATTTTGACAATCTTTATTTTTTAACAAATTTTTATCCATAATAATAAGAAAACAAGAGTATATGGTCTATCATCGTGGGATGTACAACAGCCTTTTGAACGGCTTGTAAGTCAACTCGTAATTGGATTGCGCCTCTAGATTGGACAGGTCTTATTGGTCCATTGGCCAGCCCGAAATCATACGGCTAAACGAGATGTCTTCTTGAGTTTCCTTTTCTAAACCAAAGAGGACATTTGTGTTTAATGGACCTTTGAAGATATGCGAAAGTGACGGTAGTTATAGTAAAAAAAACACTAAAGGGGAAATGTAGTCTTGATTTTTAACAAATTTTTCTCCATAGATTTATAGATAGTTATTATCATTACAATTTAAACAAACCGATCATTTCATTAGTTCAACTAATCACCATGCAAAAAGAAAGCAATAATCACCAAATTTTTGTGGGATCGATCTTATTTCATTACACGGCATAAACATGTACTCGTGAACGTGTCAAGTTTTTTGACGTCTTTGTCGGAGACTTATATTGATATTAGTTTCTATTTCCTGTAAACATTAGGCTGCCTTTTATTTATCTGTTGCTACAGTTTGTGAAAAGCATTTGCTTAAGAGAAAGGAAGAGTTAATATTAGTTTGTGAAAATAAGAAATACATAACAACGGAGGAGTTTTTGTGATACCAATCCAATATTAATTATATTACAGTCGAGCTCAAAATAGAACATGTGTTAAAATCAAATAGAGATGCTATATGGAACACCTTTTCCTGTTACACCAGGTTCTGAAGTTGGCTTCAAAAGCTCATAAGGCAAAATCCCAGCACCATTTCTATTCCTCAGATTCTTATCAGCATTCCTCTGATCAACTATACCTTCAAGCTCCGTTAACTTCCCTTTAAACTTTTCAAAAGCAGCCTTAACCATTGGTTCCTCTTCCCAAGCCGGCTCAATCGTTTGTCCAAGATATTCCTCGTCTGGGGAATGAGTAGACAAAATATCCAACACTGTCATCACCGTCAATGCTTGAATTTGCGAAGGAAAACACTTCAACAATGTCACTTCTGGTTTATTATAGAAAAGTTCTAGTTCTTGATCAGAGGGGTCTTCTGTAGGCATGCTGGTTCTCGCAATGGCAGGCCTATTAGGAAAATATCCCGCGTAAGTGTACTGACCAAAATTCATGGCCGCGTGATGTCCTGATGTTATCCAAACAATGGTGGTCACAATTTCAATAAGATCTTCATTTGTTTTCAAATTAGGCCACCAAGGTTCATCTTTCTTGTCACCATGTCCAACATTTCGAATCTCTTCCCACCATGCTTGTAATTCTTTATCTGACTCAACATTTCTTGAATCTGTATTATAGTAGTGGTTGACATAATCGGTGACCCAAGATTTGATAGCATCCCAAAGAACAAGGCCATCATTTGCATAAGGGTAATCTTCTATGGCCAGTTTCAATCCATGAGGGGCATTTGGATCTTTTACTGCAATTCCTCTGTGGATTAGGTCATTGGGGAGGGCTTGTAAGTCAAATTGCCAGTGTTGATCATAGGCTATAGAACTTACTAAGAGGGAATGTTGTTTGGGAGTGAAGCTACTCTCTATTATTCCATCTACATTTATTAGTTTTTCACGTGCAAGTGCATTGATTTCCAGTGTGTATCTAAAATGTGGAAGTAATAATCTGTAGATTGGATGCATTGCACTGAGTTGCCTGTTTGTTGCAATGATGTATGGTTCTGTACTACAATGAGTTCTCAACCTGAATAAATATGAAAATCAATTAAGCTATACATTGTTTTTTCTTTTCAAATCTTAGTATATATAAGGTTTATATATAATTTCTTACCAGTGACTAACAAGTTGGTGAAAGCCACCATCATGAGCAAGGACATGAGTTTTGGCAAGTCTCCAAAGCCAAACTTCAGTTGAGTGCCAAGAAGGTGTGAACACTTGCCTCCACTGTGGCTTTCCATTCATCGGCGGCCGAGCTAGCTCAATTGCTAGGGGTCTTATTGCACCGTCGTGCGTCAGGAAGAACAATGTCCTCGATCCATACAATGTTGTCCCTTCAAGTTTTCTAACTTCCTCTACTAATGGCAAGAAAAAATCATAGTAGTCTAGGATGAACAACTTCTTCTGTTTTATGGCCTGTATTGAGTTTGTAAACATTGCAAAATTTTAGCATCATAAAATCACTTAATTTTTACATTTTATTTAGCATGGTTATGTAAAAATATAATTAGTATCCTAAAACTCAGAACATACCTCTTCAACAGTAAGGAACCCTCCTATTTGTTGTTCAATTATCTCAGTAGTTATCGCTGATTCCGCAGGACCATAAATATTAGGGTCAAGTTTGCTTTTCAATGGCCATTCCTACATGACATTTTTTTGTGATACTAATTATAAGTTGCTATTACCTTTAGTATATTTTCAAAAAGTAATATGTGGTAGTAGTTTACCGTAACCAATTGGATGCAACAAGGATTAAGGCCAGCTATAGTCTGTCTTCCGAATTCTTCATCCCTAAACCAAAAGAATCTGTCCTCTGCCAAATTCAAACCAAGTTATTATAACTAACTAGTATAACTAATTTTCACATTTTATCAGGAATAAAAATTATATCTTACTGTCCACTGTAGCGGGAGTCTCAAAACGAAGAATCGTAGCATCACTGACAAGCCTGACCAACCGCAGCAATACAGTCCTAAGAAATCCTTTCTCCTTTTGAGGAGGCAAATTAAATCCTTCATTGAAAAGCTCATCTATGGATGAGAAAAGAGGGAATCCAATATTCTTGTCAATTACAGACGCTCTCAAACCCGACAAAAGAGGATTGAAAACAGATTGTAAGGTATTTTCGGAAAATACAAGTTGTTTAACACCAGAGAAGCATTCGTCCCTAGGCACGTAGACATTGTTACTTCTTTTCTCAGACAATGGATCTGTTCATGCAAAAATATATATATAAGCAACCATGAGAATATACAATAAGGAGAGTTTTAACAATGCTGCATTTTAAGACTGTTAACTTTTAGTTACACATACCAGTATTACAGCGAGGTCTTCCGGTTCTACAACGTCTAGGATATGGATGTTCAGTTCCACCAAGAACAGGTCTCTTGTGTTTGGGATCGGTGTCTGGATCTCCGAGGTCATTATACACATCGTAATCATATACTCGTTCAAAGGTTTGGCGTTCGCCTTGACCATTGCCTCGTAAACTTATTAGTTCCCCTTCTCTTAACAATTTCAATCCTTCTGGTGTTTCACATGGCAAATATGACTGCAAATATATATATATAGGACTAGTGAGTTTGCTTCATCACATTTAATCAAAGAGATGGAGGGAAGGAGTTGAGGTACCTTGTTTGAGAAAAACACTCTCTTAGTAGGGTTGTCAAACTTGGAATGAACCCAAGATTCACATGAAAATTTAACAGGACCAGTGAGAAAGCCATCAAGAACAATTTCTCTCATAAACATTTCTGTTCGATGTTCATTTTCCACAAGAACAGCACCAATCTCTCCAAAATTTGCTGGTACTTCAAATTCAGATTCATATTTAACCTCTTCTGCTGATCGATTCGTCAAATGAACGTAACCTTTGATTCTTTTCTTTTCTAGTTTCGTCTCTTTTTGAAACAAAACAAAGGAAAATATTACAATTAATGTTAATTGTTGGTTAAAGACAAAGTAGGTGATATGTATTGGAAGAGTCGTTTGAAGGGTTTAAACAAATTATTTAAATATAATCTATTATTATAATATTTAGAAAAATTAAAAATATGTCAATAACAAATATTTTATTATTATTTTATATAAAATTAATTTTCAAAAAAATATTAAAGATTATATTGGTTTTATCTTAGTCGTATTTAAAATTGAAAATAACTTACTTGGATCAAGCTCAGAGCTAACAAGCTCCAAGAGAATTGTTTTACCCATCAATTCACTTATTTTATCAAGACCTCTTTGTAAACCCAGTTTTGACAAAACCCCTTCACCTGCTGGTTTAACAGTTACTGTAGCTTTCACTTGTTTTCTTTCTTTTGATTCTTCACTCACAACCATAGCTTTGATTTTGTTGTACTCATTTTTAAACTTCTTCTGTTTCTTTTGGTTTACGAACAATGCTCTTGACAAACCAACCTGAAAACATCTATGGTTATTACTGCCAATGCCACGGAGGCTTGGCTTTTGTACGATCACACAATTTGGCCTCCAATATATTTGTTGCATAAGCATGTTTACTGTTTTGTTTCTCTGTGAGAGAGAATCTTAATTTTTATTATGGGATGGAAATACATTCTTGCCATGTGAGACATATTTATAGTACTATGAAACTAGGTAAAATTATATATCACATCTAACAACATTCTTCACCTGTATAAATTGTTTATACTATTCTTTTGCAACATGCAATAAATTTAGAAGAAAAAGAAAGTATAAATGAGGGGACTCAAGCCAAAACATTCTAGAAGAGACAACAAACTTTAAAAAGGACATTAATACAAGCACACCTTTATTTTTACAGCTTTGGCTATATCTCGTTAAATACATACAAAATAATGGTTAATTCAATTGAATAGATATTTAAACTTTAATTTATAGTTAAATTATAGTTAATTTAATTATATGAAATAATTATATTTTTAATATAAATTGAATGGATCTTTGAATCAACTCGTTGTTGTAGAGATATACAAATATTAAATAGATTTTTTTTTAACAATAACTATGTATTAAAAAAAATCGCAAATAACCGCGTTTCGGAAAAAATTACGCAAATAATCATGTTTCAGATGACTCCTCAAAGGAGGAGCCATCTGAATTGGCGCCTCCACCCCTACTTTTGCCTTAGGCGCCATCTCACTTGGCGCCTCCTTTCACTTTTAGCCAAGTGAGATGGCGCATGCTCCTTAAAAGTGAGAGGAGGCGCCATCTCACTTGGCTCCTAGGGCAAAACTAGGGCAAAATGCTGTTTTATAAATAATTCGTCTGTTTCTCCGAAATTTCGCACACTTTCTCGCACTGTATTTTTATTTTTTACTCTGTTATTTGCGTCATGATGTCGCCTATGATTTTTAGCAGAGATGGTTACGTTATCTTCTCCGCCACGAAACCTGCGATGAAAATGAAATTCTGGCACATTCACTCCATGGAGCGTCTGAAGCAGGAGTTGATGCGATGGCTAGATGGAGACATTGGGGAGGGGGGAAAATTCGAAGGATCCAGCAAAAATAAACAACAACCTCACATGCGACAGAGAGACCTAATGTATGGTTGGAGGAAGTCAAAACAGACAACGATGTAATGTCGATGATGCATGGGTCAGATGAAATTGTGTTAACAGTTGTAATTTCGTAGACAGAATGTCGTTATTTTTCTTGTACGCGCAATATTTATTGTAGCAAAATCTGTTAACGAAAAACCCTAATGTTTACAACATAATTAAGGAAAGATTTTATGTATTACAATTTTTATGTGGTCGAGGCAGACGCCCGATTCAGACATTTTTTCCGATTGTGTTCGACCTGACGGCATAAACCACACTTTCTTTCCAACTTGTCAAGATCGTCCATTTCTGTTGTGATGCGCTTACTTTTGGGACGACCCTTCTTGTTCCTTCGCATTTGGTCATTGTGCCACACTATTTCGCTGTCGTATGCAGGCCAATAATCTGGTTTTGCTACCAAAGGAAAGTTGTTGTTGTAAACGTTGAGCAACGTTTCAGATTTGTAAATGTTTGACAGAAGTTGCAGTGCGTCTTGATGGGTATGAGCACAAGCGGCAATGACATGAGAGTAAGGCATACGAAATGCTTGAAACCTGCCACAATCGCACCAACGAGAAGGTAGCATGACCCTATATTCTTGTCTTGGCAGGCCTTCGTTGTGGTCGATTGTCTCTTTCACTATGAAGTTGTGGTTGTGTCGGTCAAACCGTATAACCATATGAGTGTTGGCTTTAGCACTTTCAGCCTTAATGTATTTCATGCAGCTTTCACTCCATAGTTGTCCAGATTGCAACACCGCATTCCACATTTCACCTCTTTTGGAAAATAACGCAGCCATCCTAAAATACATAGATTTTACCAAAGCAGTGATCGGGAGGTTTCATATGCCTTTAAATACCCCATTCATTGATTCAATAAGATTCATTGTCATATGCCCCCATCTTTGGCCATTGTCGTATGACCTAGTCCATTTTTCCATCGGAATATTGTCGATCCACCTATCGGCTTCTGGATTTGACAAACGGATCTCGTTGCGGTAATATTTGAATGTGGGTTATGTCAATGCATATCCCGCATTCATAACCGCTTTCCTTAATGTTTTGTCCTTGATCTTCCTCGTGAAATTCTGGACGATATGCCTAACGCAATAGACATGCGTAGAAGGAGGGTCATGCCAACCGTTTGCAGGATTATTGTAGGCACTTTCAATGGAGGCATGTCTGTCCGAGATCAAACAGAGATCTGGTTGAGGAGCCACGTGTGTCCGCAGATTTTTCAGAAAAAAGCTCCAAGCACCACCGGTCTCCCCCTCGACAAGGGCAAAGGCAATGGGGAAAATGTTATTGTTGCCATCTTATGCAACTGCCATCAGTAGTGTGCCTTTGTACTTCACATACAACCAAGTCCCATCAATTTGTGTAATTGGTTTGCATGATGCAAACCCTGTGATGCATGGTTGAAATGCCCAAAACACTCGACTGAATATTCCGTTGCCGTTTAGTAGACTACCATCTTGGGCGTATGTTGGCACTGTTTCCAGAATGTAAACACTACCTGGAGAATACGTCTTGAGTGCATTCAGGTAGCAGGGAAGTTCTTGGTATGACTCCTCCCAGTTTCCGTACACCCTTTCAATCGCCTTAGTCTTTGCTAACCACGCCTTACGGTAAGACGGAGTGTAGTTAAAAACCATGGTGATGTGGGAGATTATTGTTTTCACCTTCAAAGATGGGTCGTTGCTGACCAGGGGTAGGATTTCTTGACAGATGAGATCATAGTTGAGTTTTCGGTGGTCCTGTGATTGAGTGGAACTTACACAAGTGTGGGTAGTCATGGAACCTATGACCCAGCAGTCACCTCTTAATCTGTATGATGCGGTCAGCTTGAACATACAGTCAGGGTGGACACACTTGATCTTGTACCTTTCTGGGTTGACACGGTCCACCTTAAAATCAACCGAGTTGAGCATGTGGAATTTTTTTATGGCTCTGATGCATTCCTCTCTGTTACGAAACTTGTCCTTCTCTTTTAAATTTTCATCCGACTGCATATACGGATTGAAAAATAAGTCAGTAGAAGGTTCATCTCCGCCCATGTTGAAGTTTGTCATGTGCGGAGGTGGTGTGTAGATTTCGTTTGCAGGAATACTAGGGATTCCATCATCGTCGGAATCATCATTCACCATTTCATCAAACTCTAACTCATCATCTTCTTATTCATCATCAACTGCGTCTACCTCAGCTTGTTCATTCTCCAAAGGATCAACCTCTTGTGTCACCTGAGGCTCTCGCAGCATAACGTACAACTCAATAGAGTCGTACCCAGAATACACATGGCTGGAAAACATATTCTGGAGATCCTCGTCATCTTGAACGTCAACCTTATAAAAAGTTACTTGGTTGTTTCCAAAAAAAACTGGATTCTGATAAAATATCTGGGTCACCGGGCCTCATTTAAGTTTGGCCTCCAATCGTTTTTTGAAGTACGAGAAATTGGATTTCCCGTTTAAGAGAAATCGGATGTTGTCTGTGTCTCTAAACAAAAACCCAGCAGTGGGACAAATGTATGTCTCACCGTTGAAATGTGCTTTAACGACAAATTGTGGTGCAGAGGCCATTGCGTAGGATTGTTTGAAGGTTTGAAGGTTGGAATGCTTGAATTTTATGAGTTATTCGAAGGTTGAAATGTTTGAAGTTTATTGATTGTATGAAGGTTTGAATGTTGTAAGGTTTGAAGGTTGGAATGTTTGAACTTTATGAGTTATTCGAAGGTTTGTATGTTTGATTGTTTGAAGGTTTGAAGGTTTGATTGTAAGAACGTTTGAAGGTTGGAAGATTTGACAGATTAAGTGAACCAATATTATGATGAACGTAAGACTAAAAATTTCAATTAAGTAAGGATGCAACCCCCAAGGATGCCAATAGTGTTACATGCATGGCATCCCAAAGGCTGTCACGTAGCCTGAGCCTAGCCTGCAACAAAGGACACCTCTTATTCTCCAATTGGGGTGGCGACACCATTCATTTTTGTACTCTTTCGCCAAGTCCAATGGCGCCTCCCTTACTGTCCAATCGTGATACATGCATGCAGATATGTAACCCCCTAGGCTGCCACCTAGCCTGCGCCTACTCTGCACCTATACTGTATGTTGTAAGTCTCCTCCCATCACCTCCAATGGGGTTACATGCATTCAGGCATGGCATCCCAAAGGCTGTCATGTAGCCTGAGCGTAGCCTGCAACCAAGGACACCTCTTATTCGCCAATTGAGGTGGCGACACCATTCATTTTTGTACTCTTTCGCCATGTCCAATGGCGCCTCCCTTACTGTCCAATCGTGATACATGCATGCATATATGTAACCCCCTAGGCTGCCACCTAGCCTGCACCTACTCTGCACCTATAATGTATATTGTAAGTCTCCTCCCATCACCTTCAATGGGGTTACATGCATTCAGGAATGGCATCCCAAAGGCTGTCACGTAGCCTGAGCCTAGCCTGCAACCAAGGACACGTCTTATTCGCCAATTGGGGTGGCGACACCATTCATTTTTGTACTCTTTCGCCAAGTCCAATGGCGCCTCCCTTACTGTCCAATCGTGATACATGCATGCAGATATGTAACCCCCTAGGCTGCCACCTAGCCTGCGCCTACTCTGCACCTATATTGTATGTTGTAAGTCTCCTCCCATCACCTCTAATGGGGTTACATGCATTCAGGCATGGCATCCCAAAGGTTGTCACGTAGCCTGAGTCTAGCCTGTAACCAAGGACACCTCTTATTCGCCAATTAGGGTGGCGACACCATTCATTTTTGTACTCTTTCGCCAAGTTCAATGGCGCCTCCCTTACTGTCCAATCGTGATACATCCTTAGGCTGCCACCTAGCCTGCAAGAGTGACACCTTTCATTTTTTTAAATGCATGCATATATGTAACCCTCTAGGCTGCCACCTAGCCTGCAAGAATGACACTTCGCATGCATGCAAGCACCAGCAACCACTATATGAAA